TGTCCTGATCAACCCTTCACCATTTTCTATGCTGTAATCATCATGATTATCTGGGAATCTGTTCAAGTGACTATGGCGAATATGTAACAATATGCTCATGTTACAACCCAGCGTGTTAAAGTTTGCAAGCACATTCTGCATCAGTTCTGCGTAGTTCATCCTTTGTAGTCATCCATAAAGTTTGGGACTGATGCGACAAAACCATCCCGAGTATGTGCTTCAACACGGTTCATACATGTTGTAAAACTTCGAGCAGTAATGAGTTGTCGGATTTGAGGACCATCGAAGACGCCAGCTTTCTGCTTCTCCATACTCCAGTTAAGGAATGGTGTACAAATGTACCTGAAAGAAACACAATTTTATCCAGTGCTTTGAGAAATTGTCCCGACAATTCCAAATTTGTATGAATTGGTGGGAGGATAATATTTTCTGTAAACCATAGGCTTCTGGATGATGTTCGCTGCGCTCAAGTTGCTCTGGTAGACCAAGTCACTTTCTTTCAATGATGCTGTTTAGCCTTCGTATAAATAACTAAATATATACAGTTATTCTCGAAAGCACATGGAGTAAACATGCTTTAGGTAGCCACTTTGCTGTCCATTCGAAAAGTTCAACGCCTTTAAATCCACTTACGTGATTCATTATTGACTGTATCGATTGGAACCTGTCAAATTGACAGTACAGAAAGCACAATCACGGTGATGGTCTGTCCGTTCGATCCAAACCATAAGCACACTAGAACTCAAATTCATTTTCCCACAGGTTATCCACTTGGGGAAACGCTCGACACAGATTTCGTAAACCTTATGAAAAGCCCAGGACTTTTCCTGATCAATGTTTACACCAAATTAAGCACAATAAGCTTGACACACAACGGAGTGGTATTCTTTCTTTGTTTGCCCACAATGTATTCGCCACCGAGGTATCATCACACATAAGGTTTTTCAAACAGCTACGTTAAGAGGAACATATATATCTGTGAAATAAACAAGGGCAATTTTGAATAATTACTAAACAATATTATTAATTAATCAATTATTAATTAATTATTATACCTCAAACTCGAGTCCGTTTGAGGAAACTGCTTCCATATTTGAAATCAGCACGCGCGAACTACTATAGATTCTTTAAAATATCTTCGAGAGCATGCAGTGTCTTCGGGTGGTCAACGTCTAATTTCCATCATGTTCGATAACGGGACAACGTATTTGTTGATCAATGTTATGTACCGTTGAGCTTAGACATATTACGTCACCACTTTTTTCATTCCCCTGTTAACTCTGCGCGTGACGGATAACACTCCGCAATCGGGTGGCTGAGCGTCTACCTATGGTCACAAGGTATGTGATTGGGCGCCGAAGCACGAAGTTCCCCATGACGAGTGTGGAAGATGAAGCAATTGGTATAGTACGTTTGCTTCTCATTGGTAGGCAAGATAAATCAGCGATTTCTTCATGCAGCAGAACAGAAACATGCAACGCACCCAATTCTGACACATTTTCCCTACACTCTGTACCATTGCAAAGTACAACCGGTGAACCCACTTCTCCCTATAAAAGTCGTCGTCAACTAGGATGTTACAGACGTCCATACATTTGAGCTGTAATTACTCAGGTATTGTAGCTATTCAAAACAAATAACAGCGTAGAACCGTAGCATAGATTAGGGTGCTTCAGGCACAGCCACACAAACAATCGGTGAAAAGTGTGCAATGCCAATAACAATGCGTCATTCTTCATCCCCCTCTCAATATTGACATCAGAAGACTTAGCTGATGAACCGTACAGGGTAAAAGTGCAATATCCCTAAACGTTTGTAAGTAGTAGGGGGATTTATTCGGCTTTGCGTAGATTGGTCGCAGTTAGACACAGGCAGACGGCCACCACACATACAGGACAGCCGTTTCGTCCTATTGGGACTCTGGGGGCCAGCCCTGTCCTCTGCACATTCATAACATGCAAGACGCTATATCGCAGTTAGATATCAGTCATGGCGGTTCGCTGCCGTCGCCCATGGCTCAGTGACATAAGTCGCTTACTCGCAAGAGCAAGGTCGTGCGTTCGAATCCGGCAGGATTCGGCGGGTGTGCGTTACTGACGAGTCCCAATAGGACGAAACGGCCGTCTATCGTTTTCCTGAAATGACGGGCACAAGTCGAACACTTATCAGATCAGGTGGCCCAACCATGATCGTCTTCATGGTTGCTTTTTGCCGGGAATGTGTGAGGTGGTGTTCTAAGTAAATCAGGCAATTATTAATGGTCCTATAAACTGATGTAACAGTGGGAAACGCTGCGTAGCTGTGGAAAGCATATTTGTTCCATTGCGTTAAAGTGAACACCTGCCTACGTCGGGAAACTATTAGCGCAACATGAGCTCTGATGTGTGCAAAAGCAGTAGCTGTCAGATTAAGTTTTGCAGTCTACATTTAGATATTTCTTACCTTGATTCCTGGTGTAAGGGGAAAAGTCCCATACATCTTTACAACTGTCGACGTCCAAAAGCCTATCTATGACACCGGTTTCCTTAATAAATTGGGCCATATGAGCGACCCAAGGTAAAGGAAGCTGCGAAATGACGCCACGCATGCTTCTCCAGCTAATTTCGTCTGATTTTGTGTGCTTCTTCCTGAACATTTTCACTAATCGTGATTGTTGAAGTATTCTCCGTGCGTCGTCAGAGCGCCTATCTACACTGCTATTCCAAAATACGACGTGTGTCAACATTCCTCATATCCGGTTCATACGTGCCAACTGACCCAATATGTCGCTTGCTGAACAGATCACAATCTATCAAAGAACATTTGGAATGCGTGTTTATTGTCGTTATCATTGGCACTTCTAACAATCTCTATGCTTCTCCCTTTCATCTGAGATCTAAAGTGGTTTTGGATTAGTTTCTATGTAGATATTGGGGGACACTCATCAGCACCACCGTCTCTAATAGATACCCAAATGTGTAATAGAGTTTTACTGTCGTTTAGCGTCAACTGCTAGTCTAGTGGGGTAGGTTGGGGCAGCGACTTCAGGGTAAGTTGGTAAATGGGCACCTGTCGAAGTTTAAAGCAAGTTTGCTAACTCACTTTGGGGTCCCTAGTACAGGATCGACTAGAGCCGAGGGTGCAAATTACTTCAAACATTAGAGCGCATTATGTATAAATGATGAAAGACACTACACTATATTCACCAACTAGTGTACATCATCTCTTCTGCGGATGTGCACTAAACTCTTTACTTCTCATGTGAAGAAACTAGAGAAGTGCAGAAGCCTACATGTATATCCTCTCTGGGTTTAGTTACGCTGCAGCGTCAGTTTACAATCCGACATTGGTAGCCGGATTTGTGAGCAGAGGCTAGGTTCGACTGGCCCATAAAATTTGGTATTGCTCACCCCTTTTGGTACGTCCTCAATGGCACCAGACAACATGCCATACCGTGAAGAGGGAGAAAGGCATTGTCTATGGGTATTATTAACTTAAGTAGATCCAGTAGGTCGTAGGCCGACATGAACTCGGGGAATAGCCGACTAGTAGTTACCCGTCCTAGTGTGCACTTTTAGATCTTGAGCTGATTGTAGCACTGGTTGACGTGTCTTCGCTCGTTCCTGCGGTGGACATTCAGTGTATGTTTCTCAACATTCGACTAACGTTGTGCTTGTAATCGGCTACGTACAAAACAGATTGAGGTTTATTAAGCATTTGCTCAACACAACAGAATATGAATGGAGATCTTCCAATTTGCTAATAATGTCCCTAACTTTCTATTTCCACCTGCTCAGGATGACCAGCATGAGACGTATGCTGCATCTGCTCCGAAGGACTGTCGTGTTATCCCTCTCAGTTTTACTCACTGCATCGCTTTCCATTGCTTCATCCATCTAAATTGTACTTCAGGTCCGTGCCTTTTGCGAAGCCACTACTGAGTCTCATTGGTTCGCCAAACCGTCATATGCGTTGACAAAACATCATATCGTGGAATCAATTGAAAGTGATCAGAAGAATTCCAGTGCCAATAAGAGACTGACCGATGACAGACCACTATCCTTCAGTGAACAACTTAATATGTAGTGGATATCCCAATAGATTACTGAATCTTCGATTGCAGCTATCTCCAAACCCTTCTTCACAAAGCCCAACGGAGTGTATTAAGATGGAAGGAATTCCCTACAAAGAAGGATGTTCTGTAGTTATCAGACAGGTATTAAACAAGAAGACAAGGGTGGCCTTTCATAAAGGTCAAATGTTCCATTCGACACTGTACCCTTGTAGGATCCACTTCCGAGTGATGGGATAAATACTAGCGTCCATAGAACTAGTTGCAAAGACTGTGCGTATGTATAAAGGTCAAACAGAGAGAAAGCTACGCACAAAGATGGTAGAAGCCAAGCTACACGTTTTGCATCCAACAAGAAATGAGCCTGAATACAGGGTCTTGCTAAACCGTTCTGCGGTAGCGGCAAACGCGCTAGTGTCGGTACATGAAATCTACCGGGAGAATGTAGGAGTAAGAGAGGAGTACGTGCAACAAACCAGTGAATAATTACTGGGGTGGCGGAAATCGTCATGGCCAATAACTGTGGGAACAGAGTATACTGGGCGAAGCTATCCAAAGCAAGGCAGGCTGTGTTAACCTGGCCAGTCTGAGAGGTGTTGGCGAACGGGCTCAGGATCGATTATGATCACTAGAACCCACAGCAACAATAGTGATGGTGTTTTACGTATGCATGACCTGTGACGCGGATCATTGGGGAATGTTCCATGCCCGCTGTACTACTACAACGGCCCAGTGACCTCGTGAACTATAATCACCTGTAGCCACTACCAAGGGTTATTTCTGGCAATCATTATCTTAACTTGTTATGTAAAGCCAAACCAATTATGCACTAGTTCAATTGTCCTGAAGAAACTCCTGTGTTAAAAGTGAACGTAGTCTTAATACAAGCATTTACAAAACCGATTTGACTAATAAGACCTTCAGAAATTAGAAACTTGAATTATTGTTTTTATGCAGATACTACCGGGATTAGCAAGTGTAACACATGCTTACCAATAGTGCTGAAAAGAGTGAAACAGTAGTAGATGCCTCCCCATATTGTCCATTTGGTTGGTAGCTCAATCGTCATTTCATCGGTGCCAGCTTGCCATGCCTCGTGCAGTTTATCTCGGTAGCGATCCACTTGAGCGACCAGCTTGGACCAATCAGCATTCTCGCCTTTTCGAGCAAGTTTCTGGGCCAAAATGAATATCTTCTGCCTTGTCTATAAAATATCATTTTCAGCATTGATAAATAAAGATTGCAATTAATTTCCGAAGTTGAACAGTTACGCAATGCCATACTTGGAATTACAGAGTACCGAAGTTCAGGTGGTTCAACTTATCGAAGAATACAAAATAACAACCTGGTAAGATAGAAACAAACTCTTATTCGATACGCAGCTGATGGGCCAGGAACTATATGTATCAAAGAGTGAGCAAAAGAACACGCATTGGAAGGAAGCGCACACAAAAGTAGCGTATCAAAGACAATCTAAACGAATCAAAATTTAAATAAGGTTTACTCGGGAAATTCGCTGTCCAGTGAAATTTGATGCGAGAAATAAGCAACCACGCGTGTCGAAGTTACAACCGGTTTATTTCGAAAAGAAATCGGCTTATGGTCCAGTACCGTCTATGGAAATGGGATAAAGGCAACAACATCCATGTTCTCAAATATCACTGACTAGACGTATGGCGCAGCAAGCATAGTCCCAAGCATCATCTCAGCACCGATTCCGAAACAACGGCCCAAGGATATTAATCCTAGGTCAAGTACTTGTTTCTGTCTGTGATATTCTGGTGTTCCTATGGCACAAAAGTACTGGAAAGCTTACCAAAACACTCTCTGATTACTGCTCAGCTCGGTCGTGTAGTATAGGAATGAAAACGGTGACAAAACCTAACGAGACATGAAGTGTGTGGCGCCCCAAAAGATCACTATTATCTTGTGTACAGTTTCATTACTGACAAATTGTAGATTAGACTTTCTCGTTTTATTCTCCCTTACCTTACGGCCATGTTGACCTACAGCCGGTTCGAGACTAGACTACTCTGTAAGTTGTCGCGCTAACGTGTTGCTCCTGTCTCGCTTCATCCGTCCACGTATTTTGTAGCCCATTGAATATAGTCCGCTGTGTCCGACTTCAAATGCCTTCTGATATCTGCGCTTGATTTCACGCACCGTCTCGGGCTACTATTTACTAGTCCTACAAGTGGACTCCAGCCGCCAGATCACAAGGAGTCGTTCCAACCAACCTAACGCTTATCCAAATGCGACTTGTCACTGACACGACCAAAAATCAACTCCAGAGCGCAGAACTTTAAATGTGAAACATTGTCCAAGCCTGACGCCATTGCATCGACTTAGGCACTTGACCACTTCTGGGCCAATCAACTAGCTTGTCCACTTAGATCATCCAGACCCATGACCCTATATTATTCTGACACCAACATTCCTTTTATTCGTTTGCGGTGGCCTAGTCTACTAAAGAACTAGTGTCAGTTTTTCTGATATCCACACTTATAGTATTTTGGCACTCATTGCCTATTCATGTATAGGTACTTTTTAACTAAATCTCACAAAACAGCATTCCAGTTTATTCTTCATCGTCCCATAGCATGACATATGACTCCTGCGTAATACTGATCAGTGGTTCATTACGTCCCTAACTGGTTAGCGCATGGCTTTTAGCGGTAGTGCAGGACCAAAGGAAATGTTGATTTGTGTGCGTGATTTGCTTAGCTGATCACGATTATTATTGAAGCACAGGTGCGTGTGCAGACTATGTCTGTCCAGCCTTACTGGACTTGCGAGCTAATCATGGCGACTTCCTGCTCGGTTTTCCATTGTCCTTTGGACAGGTTTCAGATGGTCTCGGGTGTCCGGTCGTAGAAACCGAAAGGCTCGTGTAGACTTATGTGAATGCAGTGGGAAGCTTTCTTGTTAACTTCTACACTGCTTCGTCTCCACACGGACTACGGTACCATGTTTTCTATGGCAATGGATAAACGAATATGCTGAGAATTTACGAAAAATGACTAGTGGACTGAATATAGAAAAAAGGCACAGAACAGTCAAAAAAAGTAATCTGCCGGCAGAATGTAGCTGTGTTAGAGCAGGATGAGGCACAGGCTTCTATCATCATCCAGTGCGCGAAATTAGCCTGCGAGTTAAGTCGTAGCACTTTGTCTGTAACACCATTGAAAGCTTCCGACTAAGAGTCTTAATATTGGTATGTGAAATAAAGAATAAGGAAGACACGCGAAGTGATGAAGGCTGGTGCCGTTTAGAAACATGAGCCAACACTCCAACTCAATAGTACCATCAGTCCACTGTAGGACACTGCGGGTTGACAAAATGTTGATTCACTCTCGGCCCCCACCTTAGATGAATTTAAGATGAACTCAACCGTCCATCACTGAATTTTTAGGACGACAGACGGTCATATGGATGCAGTGTTTATGTAGTCATCAGCTTCGACTTCATCTGCTATGTGGAATAACAAAACGCAAACCATGGAGATCGCAAAACCTTCGGCGCTAATCACAACCGGCTGTACAAAACCGCCAATGGCTTTCGTAAGGCAAGGCAAGAATTTCTTCCGCTCCGAACCGTTGATGGTCCAGCAAGAACGGCCACAGAAGCAGTAAACGCGTTGCGGATGCAATATGTCCGCCCACATTTCAGAGGAACATGCCATCAGGCCATCCTGTAGCTTTTGTTGTTCCGCCGGCAGAACTAACCAACATGACTTTTTCCGTGGTAGTTGTCTTGCAAAAGCCGACTTTTCTGTGCAACCGTAGCCTCCCTAGTGTCGATGCCATACCATCACAGGCACTTGGAGTAGCAGTCAGACAACTGAGAGTGCATTTGGCTCATTACTTCCCGCAATGCTTAGACCAGAACCGGGTTACTGCAATGTGGAAGCTTGGAATAATAAGTCCGATTCACAAAGACGGAAGCAACACTGCGCTCTCAAGCTACCGCTTGGTATCTCTTCTACATGTACTGTCCAAGTTCATGGCATCTGTCGTTGCCGATGCGTTGTTGTGCCATCTGGAAATTTATAACACGATTGCTTCTGCACGACACGGCTGCGGTCAATAGCGATCGTGCACAACGAATTTACTAATCGCAAGGAGTACTTGGACCGAGTGAGTGAGTGAGTTGACGCCGGAGAGGACGATGACGTGATCTAGTTGGTTTTTCTTCAGCACTCGACCGTCTACATCATCGGACTCTCCTTTCCAATCTCCAGTATTACAGTATCTGTGACCCTCTATTGAGTTGGATCGTCAACATTCTTTTTCAATGTCGATTAATGGTCAGCGTTCAAAATTCTGAAGCTGCCCATATACAACTAGTGTCGTATGTCTCAAGGGTCAGTTCTGAGGCGACGATTGGTTTAGTGCTTATTAATGACCTCTCGCAAAATGGAACCGGGATAGACAAACACAATTGTTGTCTAGGTGAGACGAGACCAACGGATTTTCCTGCCGAACTCATTCAGCAAGTTTTCCTTCAAAGGTCACTGGATGCATATGCCAATGACGAACCTTCAGCTAACCTGCTTGGCAGTGTGCAGCTTCAAGTTTTCAGCATTTTGTTGACTGCTTTATGTGGCGCAGGATTCAGGTGAATGCCTACCAGCATCCGCTTCAGAGTGACCAGGACAAGATACAACAGTGGTTAATCCAACTCAGCGTGTATAAATGCAAGCTATGCTCCATACAGCACCAGCGCACCTACTCCCACAGGCTAGGCACGCAAGTAATGCAGTGATCTTCCGTCGAGTGCAACCTGGGCATGCTAGATCAGGTTGACTTGGGATGTTTTAGGCACTCGGAAAAGCATCGAAAATTTATAACCGACACGTCGGTCTGTTGTGGCAGGCGTGTAGACAGATAGACATCTATATTTCCTGACAAACGTTCAGTACCTATGTTCGACCCCATGTCGAATAGACAATCCAATCATGACATCCATGGCTAATACATCACCCCGCTGCACTGAAGCAGCCTCATCATTAGGCATCCATGTACGTATTTGGAATGTACCATCTCCCGTACAAGCAAAGACTGAAACGTTTGCGAGTATCAAACGAACAGCATCGTGACGATAATAGCATACATAAGTTTGCATCATTCAAATCACATGTACCGCTCTTTGCTGCAGCTCAACTATAACACAAACTTCAGAACTCACTCCTTGAAGTTGATAGAACGGTACAGTCGCCTGAGGTGCAGCAGAAATTTCTTTTATATTCTTGTGCCCCCCCCGTGGAACGCTCTCCTCCAATCGGTCGTTTCCGCACTTATACTAGTCTTGTTTGAAAGTCGGTTGGATGACACAGAGCTACTTCCACTCTGTTACTTAGCACTATCTCTCCCTTCTGTTCCTGGGGGATACCGTGGACTTATTATCTGTCGCGTATGGGAGCTGTGAAACTAAGCGCAGTGCAAGACTACTTCACAACAAACGATAGGCCCATTTTCTTGGCAGTAAAAGCACTGCTTTTATCGTAACGTCATCAAAAAGCTTCTTACTCAAAGTAGTCAGAAGAGCTTTTAATCAGTAATACTACTAAGGAACTGCTCAGCGTTAGTTGCACTGATGAATGGAGAGGGTCTGACGATAGTTACTTACTCCTGCGGCTCACAACAACAAAGTATGGTTGAACGTGGGGGAAAATGTTTTTGATACGTGTGTGCGCCTTGTTCTCCATCTATAAGCTTTGTTGCTTGTTGTTAGATGAATTAGGTTCATTTTGACTCCTTTCTTGGCTCGCACTCAGTTTACTGACTCGCCGATGACCTAAGGAAGCATGAGCATATCGATAAGTTGTATAAATGAGATCTATCTTTAACACTTTCTCAATGAACAAAAGGATGTTGACGTGGTGTACATCGACTTTAGTAAGGCGTTTGACAGAGTTAACCACGAGGTACTCCTTCGTAACCTGAGGACATATGGAATCGGAGGCACGCTACTTCAGTGGTTACACGAGTTTATTGTGGGACGTAAGTTTAGAGTACAGGTCAATGACTACCTGACAGACTGGTTCCCATCGACTAGTGGTGTGCATCAAGGAACTGTACTTGGGCCAGTATTATTTCTTATTCATATCAACGAGCTTCCGCAGCAGCTCCAGTCACCATGTGCACTGTTTGCAGATGATTTGAAAATCTGGAGGATCATTGAGAACCAGGACGACTGCGCTCG